AAAAATAAATCAAAAAGCAAAATCTATTAGTTGGTGATCTTAGTGTATGAGAACCCGTGTATGTAAGAATAGCATCCTTTGACATTATAATAAAAGGGGATGAGAAAAGAAAGCTTTAATTCATCTCCAGGTTGCCCTCTGTGAGAATCTATCTCCTTTTCCAGAAAAGTTGTATTGGAATTCATCAAAGCCATTAGAATTGACATGTAAACATATCAGTGAATTTTTATACATGTTAAAGGAAATAATGTTTCGATCATATTATTTTACAATCAAAGAATTATACTAATTTCAGGTAAGAGACTTAAATATCATTACAAATGTTACTTTTTTTTCCAGAAATACATAAGGTAATCTTTGTGTGCAGAATAACATAACTGTAACTTAATTTTCTCAAGGAGAAAATAAAAATAATTACAGAGAATGAGACAGATTCGATTATTTTGCAAATAACATTTGCAGTTGTTTAAAAGAGAGGACTTTTCTGAAAAAAATTAAGAGAGTTAAAAATGACTGTAGATAATGCCTCTGGTTTTCTTTGGTTTCTAAATACTATATTTTAAGTCTCATTGTAAGTAATTGTTTAAAAGATAAAGTCACAATTCCTAACTATGAAACAGGAAAAGTGATGATTTTTACAAAATTTGAAACTTTTTTAGACACTCAAATTCTGAATCTCTGAAAAGAGAAGATATATGCTTCTATCATTTGGAGGTCTTTTTCTATAACTATCTTTGGGTTTGTGCTGACTAGAGGAGACAGTAAGTCCAACTTCACCTTGGCGTGATAAATAACTGATATTTTTAACCAGATTGAACAGTTTGAATCTTAGTCACTAACAAATGAAGGCTACTGTCAAATAATAACAATACATGTGAATAAAACAGTAACAGCACGCCAAATGAGTTCTTTTAGGAGGAAACAGTTCTGTGAGCAGACACTAAATCAAGAATGATTATTATCATCTTACAATTGTCTATCAATAGCTCTTTTTGGGTTACTCTAACATCCTGAGCAATACAGTATTACATGCTGAAAAGTAAAAGAATGAGGTTAAAAACATATTTTAAAACAAAATCCCCAAATCCTGAATTCTGACCTTCTCATTAAAAAAGAAATTAAACTAAATAAATTGAACTAAACACTATTATTCTATTAGTTTGCATTTGAGATCAAATGTGCATAGTTGCATATGGATGTAAATCTGTCCTCACAGCCACTAAAGAAATTAGATTTTTCTTTTATGTCTGCCTTATTTCACTTAAAATTATGATCTCTAGTTCCATCCATGTTGTTTAAAATGACTGGATCACATTCTCTCTTATGGCTAAATAGTACTCCATTGTCTATAAGGATCACATTTTCTTATTCCATTCATCTGTTGATGGACACTCAGGTTGCTTCCAAATCTTAGCTATTGTAAACAGTGCTGCAACAAACATGGGAGTGCAGATATCTCTTTGATATACTGATGTTCTTTGTTGGGGGTATACACTCAGTAGTAGATTTGCAGGATCATATCATAGCTCAATTTTTAGTTTTTGGAGGAACTTCCAAAACGTTCTTCAAAATGGCCAGTGAAATAGTTATGGAGCAAAGATCACACACTTTGGGACTGCTGAACTTTTTGTGATGATGGACACAGGGCTGTGTTTTCCTGGAAGCCCTAGCTTAGGAATTCTAGACTCTCTGAGAGAGGAGCCTCAAGAGAAGAGCAAGAGAGTGATGAAGAGTTCACTGTTTGGTTCCTCGCCAGATAGGTGCCATTGGCCTGTGGTTTTTTCTCTGAACTGGGATTTCTGGTAAACAAACAACATGTTTGGGGGTGTTCTTGCTTAATTTGACCCTATGGACTGAAAACTGTTGGTCTGAGTTCAGCAAATTTGTTTTACACAACAGTCTGTCAATATAACTATCATTATCACCCTTAGAGAAGTAAGAGACATGATACAGAGCAGGGGTCCCCAGCCCCCAGGCCACAGACCAGTACCAGTCCTCCTGCTGTGTGCCTGGACCATGGCATCTTAGGAACCTGGCTGCATAACATAACAGGAGATGAGCAACTGGCAAGCAAACCTGACTGCCTTAGCTCTGCCACCTGTCAGATCAGAAGCGATATTAGATCTATGGGAATAGGAGCACAAACTCTATTGTGAACTGTGTATGTGAGGGATCTAGATGGCAAGCTCCTTATGAGAATCCAATGCTTCATGATCTGAGGTGGAACAGTTTCATCCTGAAACCATCCCCCAACCCCGCCACAAGATTCATGGAAACATTGTCTTCACAAAACCAGTCCCTGGTGCCAAAAAGTTTGGAAACTGCTGATATAGAGAATGAACAATAATGTTAAACTAGCAATGCTTCTCCTATCATTTTTCCTGAGTTTATACTTTCACTATTTTGGCAAATACCACTGTATTTCTTTGCCATTTTTGTTTGTTTGCCCCACACTTTCAGGTACTTCTCTGGATAGACCATATTCAAAGCTAATTCCCTCTGCTCAAATACATATAAAGACATACATGAGACAAACTAGAGAATTGAAAGAAGTGAGAGCTTTGGAGGGTGCTTCTGTATTATCCCAATTGTCTACTGCTGGATTACAAACCACTCAACTGCTCAGTCGCTATAAGAGTAACATCAATTATTAATTTTGTTGCAAATCTGCAATTTGGACAAGTTTCTGAGGAGATGTTTATCTCAGCTCTGTGAGGCCTCAGCTGGGAGTTCTCAGCTGCAGCTGGAGAACCCATTCTTTGGATGGCCTACACAATAAGCCTGGTTGTCAGTGGCTGTCAGTTGGGCAGTCAGTCGGGGCTATTGCTGGGGCCCATATCTTGTCCATGTGAGTTTCTAGGTGGAACTGCTTTTATTTTCTCAACACGTGGATTGAAAAGTAAGTGCTCAAGGGACAGAAAGTAGAAGCTGGCAGTCTCTTATGAACCTAGAAATTGGTACAGGCAAGCTTTTGCCATATTCTTATTGATCAAGCCGTTCCACACCCACCTAGACTCAAGAGGTAGAAACATTGATGCTACCACTGTTTGGGAGAGGTATGAAGTATTTTTGACCTCCCTTAATCTGTCATGTTTATATTGCCCACCTTGGTATCTCAGAATGTTAAATGCTTCTGCCCATAGATGAAGTTAAGGTAGGTGACCAATTATACTGCTATTTTACTGCATTCAAATTAATTTACCCAACAGCTTTCCAGGGTCCCTAAAGTCTAGTACTTAATGTGAGAACTGAAATTTGTCTTAGGATAATTCCCTTGTTTTAATAATGAGAAGAAAGAAAAAAATAATAGTTATTTTTTGGCAAAATTCAGGCTTCTAAATTTAGATTTCTAAAAGGGTTCCCTCTCCTCCATTTGGATTATGCATTTTCTTCAGAAATTTTTCATTAATCTGTAACTAGAAAACCTAGAATGTCTCAACATCATCACAAGGTAAATTTATCAGATTGGCCAGCTGTCTCCCAATGAAGCTCTGAGTGAATAAAGTGCACATATTTGGAAGGCAAAAGAGAAAGATTGTACCAAATCCTAATCACTAGACCACCAGGGAAAAAAGGTGAGAGAAATCTTAGAATGAATGAAGACATATGTAAAAACTTTATGAATAAGGACTGGGGTAGTTGGTGAATAGAAGCAGTGGGGTAGCAACAGAAGGAAACATACAAACATTGGGTGATTTAAATGTCTAGAAAGAAGAAGTGAAAAATGAGTTTTGAGGAAAATTTCTCTGTTTTACCCCGAGGACAAAAAGAAAATATTTAACAGGGATTAGTTTAGTTTAATTCAAGCACTAACCAGAATGAAAGTGAAATTATGATATTTTGATCTATAAATATATAGGACTGAAAGCTCTTTTGCATATGAAATAAAAAATGATATGCACTATGTCTTGTTGGAGAATAATAAGACATGTCTTAAGTATCACATACGCCCAACTAAATGGCTTTTACACAGTATCTTCCTTTATTCAATTCTAGAAGATTTTAAAAACTGCTTGAAATTGATTAGGCCATCTTGGTTCCCTAACATAATAAAGCTTAGAAAATAGCTTTCACTGTGCTGCAGTGTATTGTAATTTAAATTGAGTGATTTTCTAGCCACCTCAGGTAAATGATGAGCCAAATCACAGTATGGCCTTAGGTGAACCTATTTGAGAAACAAGTAACTTAACGTGTTAACTTGTTTTAGCGGAGAAAACACAGGAGATGCTATTTATTAACCTTGTTCTCTACAGGTAGAGAATTTGTATGTTACAGTGCATCTGAATGGTTGGACTGAATTGACCAGTTTGGCCAAATTGATCAGTCACCTCAGAGCTAGGGATACACAGCCAGGTTTAATTATAATTTAGATGTAAATATCAGCCTTTTCCCCAGAACAGCAGAGGTGGTCTGCCACTGTGTTATATAAACTAGGGTAAGAGTCAACCAAAGCATTCAACTATTTTTTTCTGTGGGTACCACAAAAATAACCTATATTAAAAACTCTATTTATAATAGTTGTATAATCACTGCAACTAATAATATTTTAAAATTAGCAGCTGACATATGTCAGGACTTTTAGCTGAAAGCAGTAGACATTGACTACGGCTGATTTTAGAAAATATTGGGGTTATGCAAAGGAATATCTGAAAATGCAAGAAATACAGGCTCAGGTGTTTGTATAAAGACTTAAACCCTACCATAGATCTGGTCCGGTGATGGTACCAGGAAGCTAACTTGTAAGTAGACACATCTTCCACAGCTTTTATTATGGGAACACTAGCATGGAACCCTGCAGCTAGGAAGGCTGCCATGGCTTCCCACATATCATCCAAATGAATGCTGATGAGTACTAGCTTTTGTCTGGACCAGTGCAACTCATGGGTAGAGCCAAAGTGTCTTAGTCAGCCAATGCTGACATACAAAATGTCATAGACTGGGTGGCTTAAACAACCAACATTTTTATTTTCTCACAATTCTAGAAGTTGAAATGTCCAAAATCAAGGTTCAGCAGGGTTTCATTTCTGGTGAGGCTTCTCTTCCTGGATTGAAGACAGCCACCTTTTTACTCTGTCTTAATAAGGAGAGAGAAAAGTGTCTGGTCTCTTCCTCTTCTTATAATAGCACAAATCTCCTCATTATGACTTCATCAAGCCCTAACTACCTCCAAATTCCCCACCTTCAAATACCATCACATTGTGGGTTAGGGTTTTAAAGTATCAATTTAGGGGACACAAACATTCATCCATAGCACAAGGAGAATTGATTAGACCTCAATTCATTTCTGTGCAGATTTTGGGAATGTAGTGCACATTTGACGACTCTGAAGGGAAGCAGCCAGCAGAGTAAGTATTCTGACTTCATTCTCCTTTCTTTCTTTCCCTTTGATTTAATGCATTTTTCCACTGGTTGGAAGCCACAGTGGCATGGGAATTCTCCTCTTTTGTCAAAATCCCTATGAGCTAACCATTTCTGGGTACGGAGTATTGTAAAGAGAGTAAAGTTGATCTGGAGGAACAAAAGGTATTCACTCCTACCTTGTTTACCACCTACCATATGAAGTACTAAATATGTGTGTGTGTGTGTGTGTGTATGTGCGTATATATATATTTGTGTTTATGTGTGTGTGTGTACATTTTTATATATACATAATTAATGATTCCTTGTGTTCATACTGAATTCCGAACTTCTCTTTCCCAGAAAATTTGCAATATTTGTTTTGAGCAGATGTAGACAGAGCAAGGCTTTCAGTCACACTGGTACTGATATTTTATGTGTCACCATGCCTTAGTGTCTTTAGTATGAAGTAGTATGAGAATACTTATTTCAAACATCTTCCTGATTTGAACATACCTTTGTTCAGAATCTCCACTGCAGCTCTATCTAGATCTCAAACCATCCAATTCTGCTTCTGCCTCAAACTCACTCTTTAACACATGCTCCCTAGAGTTTGGGTGGAGAAGGACATGCTATTCCATGGTCAGAGTGGCTCTAAAAGTCTTTTCTGCCCTGAAGCTACAATAGTTATGAGCTAAAGGAATACCACCTAAGGTAATTTCTTCACAGTCTTACAAATAAGAACTTGTTTAAAAATTTCTCCAGGTATATGAGTGTGACTCGGTCTTTCTGGGATACTAGCAATATTGTACAAATAGAACTTATAACAAGAATTTAATAAATCTTATAATAACTTTAAACAGTGTGTGGAATTTATAATTCACAAACTACAAGCTTTACATTCACAGCAGAATTTTTAAATATAAGTGTGGAAAATGTCTTGTCTACAATTAGACAGTAGAACCTGATTTTGGTTCATCTACTATCTATTAAAACATCACCAAATGTTTATTGATGGGTTTAAAAATGAGAAGGAACATAAATTAATTGATTGCTCACCATTCAGTGCTCATCACACTGAATGCTTTGAGAAGAATTTGCAATTCTGTAACATATATATTCTTGAATTAAGCAGTATTTATAAAAGTCAGATGACACAAACATTACTTTTAATCTTGACTTTCATTGACAAACGGGTAAATAAAGACTTGATTACCATAGCAGAACAAAATTTAGGGTTCACAACATTAACAAATTTTATTTTTTTCAAAGTGAGGAATACACTACCCAAAATTTTATTAAACAGATGTATGATTTAAATAGATTTTGAAAAAAGTCTTAATTGGACTTAATTGACTAGTAAGACAAGCTATCTACAGAAAACTCTGTATACGGATATTTGAGATAGAACATAATTATTAACTCTCCATAAACAAAACAAATGTGACATCATATTCAATTAACATTGGTTTCTTTCAAGGCATATACTGACTAGTAATTTTTTCTGAAGTTTTAGAAGAATAACACTTAATTCCTTAAAACTAGCATTCCTTTGTCATCAAGAGACCTCTTGCTCTGAGTGAGAACTGCACCTAGACCTGTGGAATAAGTCAGGGTTATACATCAGCAAATTGAGATAATGATATAGGATAGAAAAGGTGTTGTCTGAGAGTAAGGAAATTGGGTTCCAGTCCCAGACTTCCAGTAACCAAACTGCGTGATCTGACTCCAGTGGCTTGATTTCTCTATTCCTTGATTTCCTAAACGAAAAACAATGACATTATATTAGGTAATTCCTGAGGAATAAAAGCATTAGCATACTGTGTCCACTGTGAAATGTTGATGAACAATATTCTCATATAAATGCTTTCTTCAGTTTCCATTCATTCATTTTTCTACCTCAGAAAATGTATTATGCACTAGGCGTACAAAGTTGAATGATAGAAAGAAAGGCAGATAAGTAGAAAGCAAAAGTTGTACAATAAAATCATGGTCCAAATGTAAAATAACCTAAAAAGCAGCATGAATTTAACAATTGCTAGAATGTTAGGAAAGATAACTCATTTGCCGTTCATTCTAGAGTTCTCAGCAGTCTATCACACTGAATGCTTTGAGAAGGATTTGCAATTCTATAACATATATGGTCTTAAATCAAGCAGCATTTATAAGAATCAGATGATGTAAACATTATTTTTAATCTTAACTTTCACTAACAAACTATGGGTAAGTAAAGACTTGACTCTTATAGGAGACCAAAATTTAGGGTTTACGACTTTAATGAATTTTAATGGTTTCAAAGTGAGGAATACAAAAATATGAAAACAAAAGGTAGTGGAAGAAATAGCGATGTGTATTTTATACAGAGCATGATGGAAATGCTACTAGAGTCAAATGAACAAATGAAATGTGTATATCATTTTGAGTTAGAAGGGAAACAAAAGAAAAATTAAATATTATGCTATAACAAACATTAGGAAAAGAAAGGGGAGGAGTTTCATAGAAGGTGTTTTAGAGTTGAAAAAAGCAAATAATAAATTAATGGGATTATTGATTGTTTTGAAATATGGAGAAGATAATCACAACAAGAAACATAAAATCCATAAAGGACGACTGCTTCATGGGAATAGAAAAATAAAGAAGAAGAGATAGGGAATAGAAGAACAGATGTTGGTTTTTTATCTTGCTTTAACAGTATCATTAGAATTGTGATTTTAGTTTACTCTGAATAGAATATATTGTGTATATATGTACGTATGCCTTCTCCATACAAACTTGAGTAGCAGGTAACATTTCTTACAGAAAGTAATACTTGAGTTGCAATTCAAAGAAAGAGGAGATTGATTAGGAAAATTAAGAAGGGAGAGGGACCTTCCAATCTAACTATACAACTTTAACCTATAGCTAATATCTCTGGTTCAAAATTCAAAGTTGATGAAATGATTGATTTAAAGAAATACTGATCTAAGTCAAGTCTTTATTTCTTAAACCAGACCATGTTTCACTTAAATATGAAAATAGGCATAAAATTTAAATACACAATTTAAATCATAACAGAGAGCAGGCCAGTGTCTGGTACCCTCGGTAAGGGCTTAATCTTAATAACATGAATTGAGTAACGTTTTTACAAGGTGAAGAAAAATTGAAATTTTTTGACGACCTAGTGGGGTCAATCTAACTTTGGAAATTTGAGGATGTACCTTAGAGAGTCCTTTTTTTTTTTTTTAATTTTTTATTGGATTTTAGGTTTTGGGGTACATGAGCAGAGCATGCAAGACAGTTGCGTAGGAACGCACATGGCAGTGTGCTTTTCTTTCCTTCTCCCCTTCACCCACATTTGGCATTTCTCCCCAGGCTATCCCTCCCCACCTCCCCCTCCCACTGGCCCTCCCCTTTTCCCCCCAATAGACCCCAGTGTTTAGTACTCCCCTTTCTGTGTCCATGTGTTCTCATTTTTCATCACCCGCCTATGAGTGAAAATATGCGGTGTTTCATTTTCTGTTCTTGTGTCAGTTTGCTGAGGATGACGTTCTCCAGATTCATCCATATCCAGGAAACCCATCTCACATGCAAGGATACACAAAGGCTCAAAATAAAGGGATGGAGGAAGATTTACCAAGCAAATGGAGAGCAAAAAAAAGCAGGAGTTGCCATTCTCATCTCTGATAAAATAGACTTTAAAGCAACAAAGATCAAAAGAGACAAAGAAGGCCATTACATAATGGTAAAAGGATCGATAAAACAAGAAGAGCTAACGATCCTAAACATATATGGACCCAATGCAGGAGCACCCAGATACATAAGGCAAGTTCTTAATGACTTACAAAGAGACTTAGAGAGTTCTTGATGGAGACAATTCTTGATGACAGATAAGATTGGATTCCTCTCCATGAGTGGTTATGAAAGTAACATAAATATTTACAACAATCAAGAGTTTGGCTCTTTGCAATTATCCTGTCCCATTGGCTGGGATCAGGCCTATCGCTCCAGAAGGTAAACAATGGCAGGGATTCAATGCCTGCTTGTGTACAGTTAAACTAATCCTTAGATTGAAATTATGCCCTATAATCAGAGGTTACCTGACATTGGCATGAAATAGTGAAAGAAAATTATTTGAGCCAAGAATTCTATAATTGGCTGTGCTAGCATTCTAACAAAAGGGATAAATAAGATTTTTCCAAACAGGTATATACCACAGAAAGAGATAAAAATAAATCCATGGGGGAAAAATATGAGTGAATTATTCAGTAAATCTTATATTTAACTCTGAACATTCATTTTGCTTTACATAAAAAAATCGTTATCTCTTTTCTACTAAAAACAATCAAAATAAGAAGAAGCTGCAGTGAATAAATGCTTATATTTTTATTTTCTGGTTAGGAAATAGACTGCATAAATACTTATTAGGGCTTATTTAATAAATATGTTAGAAATGTGAAAGTAGCCACTAGATTACAATACTATATCTACATATCAAATCATTAGAAGGAAAAACAAAGTTAGAATTAAGAAAACACCATCAAAGAAAAAGGCAGAAAGATAAGAAAAGGAATGAGAAAATGGAATAAAAAATTTAAGATAAATATCAGAATAAAGCAAAATGCATCAATAATCACACTGAAATGGAATGAATTATCTCTTTTATTAAGAAGTAAATTCTCATTTGAATTTTGATTAAAAAATAAACACTGCATAAAAGAGACAAAGGTGGAAAATAACACAAAATTTGAATCTAATACAATGTTAAACCATTAAACCATAGTAGGCAGATGTTAAAATTACAGAAATGTAGTAATATTAACATCAGATTGAACATTTCTCATTATGTATACATTCAAATGGGATTTTAAAGAAAGATAAAAAGAGGCATTTAATAATAATAAGTGTTATTATTTACTCAAAGCACATTAGTCATAAATATTTATGTACTTAATAAAAAATAGTATTAAAATATAGTAATAGCTTTGAATTTAAAACACCTCGTGAAACATAAAAATATTTGACAAATCAC